ATCTTTTCACGGTGTATAATTTACCTTTTCATCATTACTGTTTCATTAGAAACACCGACGCAGCTCACACTAGTTTTTAGCTAGTTATATCTTTTTAAGTACTACTAAACTTCTTTTTAAATAAAACAAAATTTTTGTCTAACTTATATGATATAATTTTTAAATATCTCCTTTTGTTTATTTTGTTTATTTTTTATTTATTTTTTTATTTAATATTTATTTTCCATAATTTCTCCTATTAAACAATAAAGTTAACAAAGAAGTTACAAACACACACACATGTACATGTGTTATTATCATTATGTTAATGACGCAATTAAATATATTTAATAACAAAATAATTTTTAAATATATTTTAAAATTATATTTCGTAGGATCATTAAGCACCACTAAAAATTCAAGCCCGAATACTAGACCAAGGACTCACTCACCCACACATCATTCAGGTCGGAAAATTCAATAATTTGATAATATAAAGTTTAATATATTATTTGACTAGATTATTTTGCATGCATGTATCAGTGACTTTTTTCCCCGCCTGGATGAGGTTCTCTAGTCTTAGCCCTATCAGAGCAGGCGTAGCTCAGTTGGTTAATGTGCAGCCTCAGGATCTCCATGAAGTCTGTTTCCCCCTAACCCACGTAGCTTTAGTTTTGAATGCTCTTAAAACATAACACTGATGGAGAAAGTGCCTGCACCATCAGCTTCCTGGGATACCCCGCCTAGTAGCTGAAGGAACTTCCAAGAACATCACATATAGTTTTCTAGGATTATTTGTTTAGCACTCAAAAAGCTTTCTTTTCTTTCTTATTTTCTTTCTTTCTATCCTCTCTCTTCGTAGAATCTCATAAGACTGTTTCAACAAAAGTGGTTCCTACTAAAGGTTTCTCCAGTACCTTGAGATCCTCTACCAAAGCCCCTACTCAAAGCCCCATCCATACTTCAAGATCTTCTATCAAGCCATCAAAAAAATACTCAGGTGTGCTTCAAGACAGTGATAAGTCACATCATTAGTAACTTAAATTATAGTTAGTAAACATGAGGAAAACACAAATTACAGAAATCTCAATCCATGTCCAGATCTGTTCTTATTTTCTTTTATTTTCGGTAAATATCTCTCCCCGATATTCACTTCACCTTTGGCGAATAATTGTTAATTGTGTTGTTTTGAAAATAACATTTAGATTAGTCAATGTTACTTGGTCATTCAGCTCCATAATCCTTTAGTCGTCATTGTAGTAATAAACCTTGGCATGTTTCTTTGTCCTAGATTTCTTCCCACACACTGCAAACTCAATTTGCTAATTTTCGATTTGATGAGATGAGTCATGTCCCGATGACTTTGATTGCAATAGTGCAGTCCTTTGAAAGTTGGTGATGGAAAATTTTGCGTAATTGCCTTCATTTCTGCTTTTAGTAGTCTGCCCTTCAGTTCAACATTAGGAAAACAATCTGATTGGTTCTTCAGGCACCAATTATTATTTTTCCTCCATTCTCACAGTTCTATATCTGATTGGCTATAGATACTGAAATAGGTCTATCAATGCTAATCCATAATTTTGTGAAAAAAAGGCTAATCAAAACAATTATAGCATTGAATTTTGCTCAGAATTGTGCTCAGAATTTTGCTTTGAAAGATTTTACAAGATTTCAGCTTTTTAGTGGCTAATAGTGTATATTTAAATTGAAGTATCTTAATTTTTCTCTACAGGCCCAACTACAGCCCTGCCAGGTGGTGCCCATCCTATGAAAAGAGGTAAAGAAACTGCAAAGTAACTTAAATCTTTTCCTGGACTTTTGATGAGGACTAACCTGTAAACCTGCTATTAATTGTCAGTGGGAAATTTAAAGTTTTGCTTCCTCTTCCCTCCTGCCCAACAATGAAACTGGAACAACGGGAAAGTGCAGGAAATTGTTCAGAAGTATCTCCTAGACTTTCCGGCTGATCTGAGAAAAAATACACAAATTTAGTATAAATACACAGGTGATTATTGAAAATCTCGCGCGCTGATTGGTCGAGAAACTCAGATTATCACACGATAATCACCTCCAGCGATAATCCAAAATGGCGGCCAGCGCTTGTCACTTCAATTAAAATTTTTCCTAATTTTAAATGTGTCTTTTATCTTCTGTTTTTCTTTTTTTTGAAAGAATCACCTGTGTATTTATACTAAAACAATTATTCACCTCATTTAAAGGGGCACTTGGATGAAAACGCCCCAATTTTTCAAAGTCCAAATATTAAATTGAAGTATTTGAGGATAATATGACTCAATTATGATTATGTGGGAGGCACTTGCAGTTGAGAAATTTTAGGTTAAAAAAGAAAATAACAATAGGGTTGAGTAAATGACGTCATTTACTCACAATTAAGATGCTGACTAAAATTGATAATTTTTATCCCCCACTTTTGACTGTGAAGAAAACATGTTGCTTGGCCACTATTGGGGTCATACTACTCTTCTCAGTAGACCGAGGCAGCTGGAATTTTTTAATGGCCTTCGTAGCGTCTGTTATGTTATCCAGAAGTACATTTCAAATCGGCCACTTGATGCCAATGTTGTACCACGTGGACAAGTTTTTTACACCACGTGATAAAAAACTTGACTGAATTTTGATCATGTGGTGTAAAAAACTTGTCCACGTGGTACAACATTGGCATCACGTGGCCGATTTGAAATGTACTTCTGGATAACATAACAGACGCTACGAAGGCCATTAAAAAATTCCAGCTGCCTCGGTCTACTGAGAAGAGTAGTACAGATACGTTTAACTAAGTTTAAAGTCATTTCCAATTTTTATTCATTTTCATCCAAGTGCCCCTTTAAACTGCATCCGATTACTAAATATAGCCCAACCAGGAATTTATATTACATGGTGCGCGTGTTATTAAGAAGTTTCCCTCTCTCATTTATGCTCTCTTGGCTAAACCTACTAATCTGTCAAAGAAATGGATAAAAAGATTTTTGAAGTTAGGTTCAAAATTTGGGTAAGCCGCCATTGTTTTGGTTTTTAAAACCGACACTTTTCTATACAATTGGTATATCACTGTAGACCACTTGTAGCTCAGCCAATCAGAGCGCAGGATTTATTATAGAGCATTAGCAGGTTTAAACTAAATAAATATTAACCGAAAATAGGTTATGTTTGGGCTACCTGTGTGCAGAGTTCCGTGGACCATGATACCAGATTTCCTGATTTTATTTTGTTTTGGTTTTTAGAATCTGGTCATAGTCACATATCAGCTGGAGTGGCCGTAGGTATCGCCTTTGCCTGTGTTGTGGGTGTTTTGATAATAGTCGGGGCTGCAATCTACTGGAAGAAGTTCTACCGTCGCTCCCGTCTAAGAGCAGCGTACTACAATGACATATCCATGAATGACCCATTGTATGAAGACTTTGGACCGGAAGTGGCCTAACTCGACAACCACCTGAACTTCCTGTATGAAAAAAGTTGAGTTTTGAGACTGTCTCGCCTCCTTTAGCCTCCTACGCAGACGTAGCAGGCTAGCCTCCATTTAGCTTAGTTCCATTGCGTTTGTATAAAATATGCTTCATTAATTACATAGAATTAGTTTGAAAAATGCGGGATTTTTTATTTAAATTGGAAGCGTTCATGGGCGAATAGTCTTATACTTCATTCACACCAAGGCTTAAACATGTTTCAAAGTGGTTTAACTAAGCAGGTTTGAAAAACTATCTACGAACATTGCACAATCTTTGGTGAAATAATGTATGTAAACTATCCTTTGTCTTGCTCTGTTTCATTATATTGTAGGTTTCTAGTTTCTCCATTTTTTCCCTAATGAAAACAGTTTAACTAAACACGTTTAGGTGTGAATGGGGTATTAGATAACACTGCAACGCCATGGCACTGAAATAAATTCCGCATTCCACATAAGAGCCATACATTTAGGGGGGTGTTGGGAGGGGAGCCTTTTGGATTCAACCGCACCGCACACTCAATAGAGGCTTTGCACCATCATGTGCTGGCGCCCAAAATACAGCTTGGGATGCCTGTAATTTGATGGCAGAACGATAAAACTCCATTACTCTCTGGACTTGAATTTTTTCTCATGTAAAAAGTTGTATTGTTCCTGCCATCTGACGTGGCTGCCGTCACGTGATGGTGCAAAGCCTCTATAAGCTAGTCAATCATAGTGTAGAGAAGGGGTGAGTGGTTCAACCGTGTAAAAGAGCGAAATGGGGAGGGAAAGAGGTTGGCTACAGGCGTGGGTTATGGAAGGAGTGGGAAGATACAAGTTTATCTCTGCTCTCTGTCCCAGAGAACAACAAAATTTATCCTTCTACCTTATTTAAATCACATTGTTTAGCGAAATATTTAACAATCGCTTTAAACGTGAACACAAGTGTTCTATACGTACAAATCTTTCAACAGATTTAAATAAATTTAGCACTAATTAATAATAATGATAATGGACAGAATTCACTTGTACATAGTTATTACTTCAATCAATCATTGTATAATTGATATATTATTAGAATAATTAAAGCCAACAAAACAATGCTACAAAACTTAATTGATTTGTTCATGTGAGAGTAAAAGAAAGCGTTGTGGTTAAGCCCCGTTTACGCTGGCGATTCTTGCAGCGATTTTTGCTGCGATCTTTGTGGCAATTTTCAGAAATATAAAATCTTTTGTCTCATCCTTCAAAAGAGACATTCGTCTAGGAAAATCTTGGTATCCTGAAAAAAACTTTACAAGTAAATCTGTACCATTATTTATTATGGACAGAATATCCGAAAAAATCGCAGCAAAACTCGCTAGTGTAAACGGTGCTTTATAGTTCATGTTCACTTGACAGTTGAGTAATACCATGGCTAGGAGGGATATTAATAATCAAATGTCCCTAAAGCCGAGGAGTAGATTAGTGGTAGTCCTGCCGCGGCAAACATCATTAATGATGGAGAATATAGAGGATATTAATGGCCGCGCGAAGTGTTGAGGTGATATATATCTTACGAGAAAAATTAGCGAACAACTTGTAAGATATTCTCAACACGAGAAGATACAGTCCAAATGGCCTGGTAATATTCTGTTTAATATATTATCATCGATGAAATACAATTTAACCGACGTAAGAACCTGTGAATGAAATCTCAATAGCCCAAAACAAAGCTCGTGTTAAATCTTTATTGAACTAAAAGCCACAACGATAGAACGGAACAATAGCTAGATGGAGATCATCACACAGAGCAGAGTCGAGATAAAACCACTTTCTTTAGGTATTTCATCGACGATTAAATAGTCTTGAATAATTTTTTAAAAATTTCCTCATCTCTATTAGCATTTTAAAAGAGGAAATTAGCGATTAAATGTCACTCTTGGAATAACGAATCCCGAGTTAACGATCACGGTATTTCTAAGGTAAACGTATTGTTTTTTGATAGTCTTTAAAAATACCAACAACATAACCACAATGCACTAGGAGCTTTTCGTATGGCCTGGCCCATAAAGAAGATGGCACATGAAGCTTTGCGCAGTGGGTGACGGTGTTCTTTGTAAAAATTATAGATGTTGGGTTGCCTGTTTTGAACGTGCACGTTTTTAAAGATACCTTTTTGTTGGCTATTTATATTAACTACATCTTTACAATCAATTGTTGGTTAGCAAAATAAATGGTATGAATTATTGTTACCGCAGTTTTGGTAAATATCCATTAGTCTTGATAAAAATAAATTGGATCTCCTTTGGGGATGCTTAATATATTAATAGAGTTATCTTATTTAACCCGTGAAAAAAAAAAAAAATTTAGTTAGTACTAGTTGATAAAAAAAAAGAAAAAAAAGAAAACAATGGGTTTAGGATCTAGTATTACTAACTATTATGCGTACTTTTTTTTCACGGATTACAGCGCTTCTCAATCATGTCATGAAATCGTACAATTTGCCCTCGGGACGAAGTAGGTTTTGGTAACGCCAATCAATGCGTTTCCATGACATTCCATAGGCAGGTGCCTTAAAAGCTTTGTGTTTTTAATTCCGACAATGCTGGGAAACACTTTGATTGGAGACTACCAAAACTCTATTAAAAATTGTTCACGATTTCGCGCGCGTAATTGAGAAGCGCTGTAAAAAAAAAACCACTATAATAACCTACGTCAGCTTAAATGTGTGTCTGGATTACGTCATCCAAATAAAAGAAAAACGTGTCCGGATACATCAACAGAATCAAAGAAAAAAACGACTACGCATTACTTGGCAAATGAGGTTACATTTATTGGAGACATGCACACTTTAATGCGCCAGCTGAATATGATTTAGAACGTTCTCGTTATCAGACAATTTGTCTCGAAGCATTGACGCATTTCATATCATTTTAAAATCTTCGTCATAATATTTTTAAGTCTTTTCAAAAAATATCGAGAAAACTATACGATCAAAGGATAATTATATCTATCGATATAGAATTCAATGTCATCTTATTTCTTACTGCGAGTGCTTGAGAAAATATTATTCGTCGAGCATGCGCAGTAAGAAATGAGGGCTATCAGTATATGACGAAATTGTGTACGATTGCGTAGCGTAACTGAGACGACGGGTGCGCGATAAAGCGATGCCGGTTATTCGTTTTAGTAATACCTGCAGGTGAGGTTGAATCAATCAGCCCGGAATTAGTTTTATAGCTACAACAACATTTGATCTCCAATATTAATGTCACTTCATTATACCCACGTAGGGGTTACATTCTAGAAAAAGATTCCATTGAAAATCCTAAATGTTTCTTTCAGTAGAGGCAAAATTATTTAAAACTTAAGTAGATTTACTGACAATGTATCTATGGCGCCAGATCATAGAGTTCGAGCCCGGGGTGGGAGATCCCTTCATCATATTTTGTCTCAGTTTGAGCTCCCGTTGAAGGGGAAGAATGGTTAGTAATCTATCATATTTTTAATGGCCTTTAATAATCTTTTTCTGCCAACTACTTGAGATCTTCAAGAGCTTTTTTCATTTTTACTCCTAAATCGAAAGGGAAATGAATTGCAATCCCATTGAACAAATGATCGCAAATAAAGCGGGGACAGTCCTAGCGCGTCTTCAACGAAAACAGGTCTGGTCAAATAAAAATGGGAGAAGAATGCCAGACTCTATAACTAATAATTCAGGGTTAGCAGCTTATCCTTGAAAAGACCTTTGATGTTTCCATATTTTAATAACCGCTGAATATTGAATATTTTTGACATTTCCAATTATTTATATCTCATAAGTTATATATATACATTTATATAATTTTATTTTTATTTCTAGCTATACAATTTATATTTATTATTCTATTATAAGTTTTAACACAGCTCTTAGGAAGAACATTTTGTATGACGAGACATCCGTGTTCAAATAAAGATTATGTATGTATATATGTATGTAAAATGGCGAGTTTCACTTCCTTCCTCGTCGTCTTTGGTTTCTTCTTCGGTTTTCGGTTAGTATGGTAACGAAGTATGGAAGATGAAATAGGAAACAAATGAAAGCCGGATGAGTGCTCAACGAATACTTCACTTTCTTGAAATTAATTCATAGTTTCTTTCATCGTGTAAAAAATGATATTGAATGTTCTCTCGTCGGCTAACAGATATTTACTATTTATGAAAAGAATTGACATATTAAAACTGAACACTGGTGCTGGCTCTACATGCAATGGCTTTTGAGTCAAGTAGCACTCTAACCATATTATAGATGGGGTGTAGTGTACTTTTGAAGTGTTTTATAATAATTCATAGCTTCTTTTGTTGTGTAAAAATGATATTGAATGTCCTCTCGTCGGCTAACAGATATTTACTATTTATGAAAAGAATTGACATTTTAAAACTGAATACTGGTGCTGGCTCTACATGCAATGGTTTTTGAGTCAAGTAGCACTCTAACCATATTTTAGATGGCGTGTAGTGTACTTTTAAAGTATGTTCTATTTACCCAATGAATTGAAATCCGTCTCAGACAAGCACTTCAATTCTAATGACATCTGACGCAAAGTATTATCTCATTTTTTATATGATTCTATTTTTACGCGGTTTTAAGACGATGGAATATGTTAAAGCTAAACATAGAAAGTAATTTTGGTATGATTACAAGTCAGTATCGATCTTGTTTCAAGAGTTAAAATTAGAAGTAAAAAAAAAAAAAAAACAGGAATGCGGAAGACGTGTTCAATGTAAACACGGGAACTTGAATCATTGAAGCTGAAGGAAATAATAGTAACATGTGGTAGGAAGTATGAATCGTGATCACTCCAACTTTTCCCAGCTTACGTCACTATTTCCTCTTTGCTGTAATGTCTGTATTAATTCATACAACATACAGCACAGTGTTTGTAAATATTATTAGCAGTAGTTAGCACGTGGTTCAGTGGTTTAGTTTTTACTTGGATCGAATCTGAAACGCTGAGTCTTGTGGTAATTAAACGATGTGATTGGGAGATTTACGTTTTAACGCCCATTTGATTGGATAAGAACGAGCGGAAGCTATTGAAGAGCCATGACGCCGGAAGTGTTATGTGATTGGCTCGGAGGATTTTCTGAATTTTTTTGGCGACAAAAGTCCGTCCCTCTTCCCCTAGGGCAAATCCATTTATCCTGCTATGACATGCTACGATAATTGAAACCATCTTCAATATTTCAATAAGAAATGAAACGCGAACATGCGGCAAATTTACCACTGTTAATTTAGAAGATGTGAAAATCTAGTCCATAGAATATTTTTTAATTTTTCTTTCTTTCTTTCTTTCTTTCCTTTCTTTTCTTTTCTTTTATTGCAACTAGAATCACAAAAGAGGATAGAACGCTGTTGCGTGCCCATTCACACTCAATTGGAATACTTTTTGACAGTCAACTATAACTTATAATCCAAGCATGTGAGAATTACAGGCCATTTTTTTTTTTTTTTTTTTTTTTACCAGCGCAGAACGGTTCACTACGATTTCTTCCCCAGCGAATCTAAATATTGTTTCAAGGCTGCGTCAATGCGTGGCTGGTAGTGACACGCATAAATGACGAAAGGAAGATAAAATGCGTTCGATAAATAGTACCGATTGCATCAGAAAGCCAATCACCTTTGTGAGCGGGTAGATAGATATAAGATTGATGATATATTTTGCATTATTTGTAGACACTATCTCCGGTTGATCGATAATTATTCACAATTGGCAAGATTTGATGAGGAAAGAGAGAAAAAGAGAAAGATAGACACAGGGACACACAAAAAGAAAGAACGGAAAAAATCTTACCAACATGCAGTCATAATACTAAATTTCTTTTTCACAACTATATTCCTATTTTACCAGAAAAAGATTTCACGGCTTTTTTTTTTTTTTTTTTTTTAAAATAGTTTAATGACGGTCTCTTCTCATGCTTCTTCTTTCTCGAATTTATAAACTTAGCCTACGCACATTGTCATTATTGGCGGAAAAGATGTTTGTTCGCAAGGCTTTCGGATCAAGTTGTCTGGGGGAGCCACAGCCTAACTGATACATAGTGGGCGAATAAATCTTTAATGACCAATTGAAAGCCACTATTTAGTAAGACTTAAAATCAACCCCGTCCAATTAGCTTTGCGTAAATCTAATAAAAAGCGAAAAGTTTAGTGGTGATGATGGGCTGGTATACAATGATGACTCTGACGATGATGTAGTTCTGTGCAATTTATTAAGGTTGGACAACTTAGGGGCAGTACAGCGATGACGAAAAAGAGCGTGAACTGATAAATTGAATGAGGGATCCAGTACTATCTCTAAATACAAGAGATGGAAGAAACAAAGAGTAACAACCTATTTAACTAGGCGATATTTATGCTATATTTTGGCGACTCTGATCAGGAGTGAAAGTACCTCTTAAACAAGGGTGAGCCTTGTAGCAGTATTGGAAACCTCTTTCAAAAGAATGTTTTCTGAGTCTTTCAATTTGAAGCTGCATAAGTTGCTTGATATACTGCGAGGATTAGCTCAATTTGATACATTACGACCGCAGTAGTACAAATATATATTTCATATATTCTCATACACAATGTATAGCTTGTGCTACATCAATGAGTAATACTGTCAACAGATATCGTGGACTGAAATATGTCTAGTGTGTTAGCTTCAGTGTGTGTGTGTATGGTCTTCTCCTAGTGCTCTTCAAAGGAGGAGTGACGAGAACTGAGACTTCTCTGTTTGCTTAATTCAGGGTTTCCTACACGTTTTTAGCTATTGGGGGAGGGGGATGGAGGTTGGTCATCAATTTCTGTGCAATCTTTCATGGGTGCACCACTTTTAATCTTTTTTCCCCCACACTTTTAATCATGCATGGACTGACTTATTATCATCATCATCATCATCATCGTTATTATTATTATTATTTATTACTATTATTATTGTTATTATCATTATTATCATCATCATCACCATTATGGCAGTTGTATACTTAAGGATGCCTAGGCATAATCACATTCAGTCGGGCATGCGGGCTAGCTGTGACCGACCGCCTAAACAAAACCTATCTAGATATATTTACAATATTAAAACTGTAAATTAAGTTCTATCTACATTCATTGATAATAATTGTCGCTAGCTATTCACTATTGTCCATATATTAAATATATATAAGACTTCATTTATTATTATTATTATTATTATTATTATTATTATTAATTTTATTAAGACTTACTAACGTTTTTTTTTTTTTTTTGTTTGCTTGCTTTTTATTTGATCAGTTAATCCCGACGGAATTTGTGCAATTTCAAATATTTACAAACCTTTTTAAACCATTCAATAATTTTAGCGTACCTATCTATTATATGGCTTGAATGATCGGCAGTTGATGATGACTCATAAAATGGCGGGAAAATTTGCAAGCCCCCTATTGGCTCTCGACGTTTTTGGTCAAATAAATTGATTTTGAAGTACAAAAAGGCGCATATTTGTTTGATTTTGCCAAGACCATTTTGGCGCAGCAAATTAACAATTGCATACAAATAACTTTTAAATGAGTAAGATATGAAAAAAGCATAAAGGTTTATCGTAAGTAAGTAAACATTAACTTACGTCAAGTTTGTACAATGTACAAAACCTCCGTTTTTTGGCAGTGGATGAGATGATTTGTTCGCGGGACCATGCGAAGACTGTCGAAAACCATGAAATGGCGGGACTGCCTTTATCAGTGATTAGAATTCCCAAAATTCCACGTGGGAAGAATGCAAATATAGTGCTTAAAGCGTGGGTTCATTTTCGGAATTAACCTCTTTTGTCTACATTTCCTCTAATATCTTCAAATAGTAGTGAGAGGAAGTTGCGTCATTGGTTCGCGCCAACAAGTAGAACATGCTTTGCGGTCGCTTGTCAACAAAAACGCTTCGCTTGAATGAATCCAACTAGAAGAGGAGGCGAGACTACAACAACAAAGAACCGGTAAAACACTGCCACCTTAGAATCAAGTCAAAACCTGAAAGAAACTTAATTTCATTTGAACTACTTTACCTAGAATTTCATATTCAAAGGCCGTCATGAAGGTCTTAGGGGTAATTCTTGCGATGATTTTTCTCCTGAACGTATATACTAGTAGTACAACGAATGCCGCCGGTAAGTCCAGTGAGTACAAGTAACTAACGAACACGTGTTTTCGACTTGAACTCATGTGCACTGCTATGATACCAACGAAAAGTTCGAAATTTAGATTTTGAACCACTCAATCTATGATATTTTCTTTACGCATAGTATTTTCCATCGACGCGAAGCCGTTTTTAGACATTTCTGGAAAGCCGCCAACATAGTATTTACACGGCGACTATTTGTAGTAAATCAGTGAGAGCATCAAATATCATCTTTCATGTTGGGAAGATAATTTTTACTTTCCTTTCTCATGTTTTTCGTCTTTTTTTAGGAAATCCATTCTTGCGTATGCTTTGAAATATTTATTTTAAATATTCGATTAAATGTGTGTGGGAAAATTCTATCGTGTCTGAGATCTGTTTTACGCGTTGTTTCTTCTGTCGTGGCTCTTTCAAACAAAACTAAACTAAAAGAATATTCTTTCGATATCTGAACTTTACTTTCGTAAAATATACGTATTCCTTGAAATTTTTATAAGCTGGAGTAATTATTTTAGTAGCTTTTCTTACACATGTCTGTATTTTACGATTTGAATATTTTCATTAATTTGGCGCTTGATGATGCAATAAGCTTTATAGTGATGGTTAAGCTTTATTTCGTTTATGAATTTATTTCCCGCCTTTGCAGAATCATTTGAAAATTCTTTGTAAAAACAAGAACATGAATAAGAAAAATTGAAAACACGCTTTTACTAAGTTTTCATTCTGATTTTGACTACGATTTATTCGATACACCGCACCGGCCGTGGCGTGCCACTAGGAATATACTAGGTGTATTCAGTTTTACGTCAAATCAACACCCACACTCTAGCAACTATCCATTATAACTACGTAGGATTTGGATGTTTTCATGACATTTTTATTTCCTTAGAAACTCGGATCTGGTATAGTTCTCTAAGTCTAAGTAAGTTTGCACGTTCTAGGAACAATTCAGTACCCGATCAGTCATTTACCTGTTTTCTTTTCACATGGTCTAGTACTTTAGTTTGTGTACTCCACGAGACATTTTAATTATACATAGCTTTATCGAAACAATTTGTCTGAAGCAGAAATGAAGACAAAACCATGTGCTTTTAGCATGAATTAAACATCGCAAGCGATTTCTACTACGCATCTTTCGAAAATGTTAAAATCTACTATCGCATCTTTACTTGTCGTTGGCACGGAAAAATCTAAAGAATCTCAGAGTTTACGTTAGTTTTAAAAATATCTCTTATTTTATGATTAATATTCTATCAATAATAATAGCAACAAGATATTGTCGCAGTAGACCAGAAAAAAAGAAAAGAAAAAAAGAAAAAAACCCCAGAAAAGTCGAACAACTGCGCTAGTAGCGTTAATTCCTCTTCGCATGTCAAACAATAACCATCAAAGTAAATGACAAAAAACAAAAGGTAGTACAACATTAATATGAATGTGTTTTGCGTGGCTGTGCACGGAATAATAATTCGAAAAGAAATGTTTCAGTTTGGAGTAGTCTCGTGGTTTCCTTTGAAGAAGGAAGTTCAAAATCCGTCTTTAAATTGGTAGTAATAAT